ATCGCTGCGCTGATTAAACATTATAATTGCGAGTCGTATATGAGGTTTGTCGGGAAGCATCCTGGGACTCTGTACATGGCACGGTCTACTTCCCTTTACCACTTGGCAGGCATTTAAATTATTTCGAGAGAGTGTGAGCGAAACTTCAAGTGACATGAGAAATACTCTGTGTAGCTAGAGAAGTGCACTTCCCTACTCTACTATACCCTTTCGTTTATGCGATTTTAACAACCTACATTCCTTTTCAATGTTTCCAAAACCTCAACTCGTTTGCTACAGCATAATTATCCCTCTTTTCTACTCGGATTAAGAATTTATATATGCTACCCCAAAACCTTAAATTAGGTAATACCCGAATTGGCAAGTCAAAAATAGTTCTCACAATGCCCTTTCGTCAATACTAATATTAACTATTGTGAGTACTATTGGGGATTTAAAATTGCAATGCAACACTAGTAATAATTTTCTTTCCCAATAGAATTTACTACATTTTTCAGTCAATTTTATTTTACACTAAGATTTTTTCAGTCCTCGAATACTTTTTCTGACAAAACTATGTCATAAAATTCAACGGGATCAAATACAAATATTAAAAATACTTTGTAGGCTTTTGTTCTACGCATAAAAAATATATTCAACAAGTTCCAATAAAATTTCTGAGATAATTTGAATTTCTCTCCCAGGTGAGAATGTTCATATGAAAATCTACGTGGTTAATAAACAAGTGGAATGTCGCGTGGTATTTTGAAACAATTTCGCTTATGGAGCTTATTAAATTAAATAAAACCTTTTATTATTTCTAAACGTATATATTTACGTAAAAACGCTATTCTTTAATTTTCAGGCCTTGTAGGAGTTTTCAAAATTGGAGTTTATAATTCAATTTACTTATCAAATCAAGTTGATTGCGTGAACATTTTCTAACTGTTGGATTTATAATATAACCGACTTAAGAATTTGTCTACATAATTGTGAAAAAGATGAGAGAAGAATGGAGCCAATTAGAACCATTGAGCCCATTTCCTACTTGCTTAATTATTTCATCTTCACCAACTAATTCCATATTAAGGTAAAATTGACAGTCGTTAATTAATTTCAAATTTTTCGGATTCAGTCATCTAAATTCTCAAGTCGACCTAATGTGATAAATAAATTATTTTTACAGTCTCATGGGGGAGATTTCGTCAGAAATTCGTTCAAACGAAACAAAAAACTTTCTTCATAGATGGTGCCCACAAACATTGGTTCAATTTAATATGCAACAAAAATGAGCACGCAGGTTTTTTTTTGTATTTTGTTTCCTCTATATCTGCGTTGAAAAACAAGGCATTTAGTTGCTGTCAGTTTCAGAGATTTTTTCCATATGCGATACGGGACAATGAGTTGCCTTATATATATATTTTTTTTTGTGGATAAATAAAGAGTAGATAATAATTTATAAAAATGACCACAAGCACGTTCGCGAGCGAAACTAGAACCGGTCATGGCTGTAGCCAACGTACCACATTTCACCGTGATAAATCGCTTTTAGCTCCCCCGTTGCGTCAAAATGATAACTTTCCCACCCCCTTTATTGTCCGCTTCCACTATGTGGCAGAAAAACACACCGTATCCTCGCATAACCGGAAAAACCTGTTATTAGCGAAAAATGAGTTGTATTATGTGTTATGGCTCAAGTACTATCTGACGTATGATTTTTCGTAAAAAATCATCTTTCTTTTTTAAAGTATTAGTCAAAACTTTACACAAAACAAGATTCACCTGAAATAGGTCATTTATATTTTGTTTTAATAAATACATCTATTTGATAACAAGTTGCAAACAGATTATTATTGAATAATTATTAATTAATAATATTATTCAATAACTATTTTTCAATCTAAATATTTATTTAGTAAAGTGAAAACTAGTTTTAGGTAGTAGATTATAAAGCAAATAATAAGGATGTACTAAGGGAAACAATGCTACTTCGAGTTAAACTACACTATTATCTTCTTCTTCAAGTTTAATTTAATTATTTAATAATAATTATCTAGTTATTTTACAAAAACAATTTAAATAATAATAATGTTTAACTAAAAAAATAATTAATTTAGAATATACACGTACACTAATAATTAACTTTAATTAAATTGGCAAAATTTTACGTTCACAGTATTAGAGCAATTTTCGGAATGTTTTCCAAAAATTTAATTAAACGAAATTGGAAAAGTTGCACCTTCTCAAACTCTTACAATCTCTATCCTTTTATTTTCTTATATACATATATACTTGAAACTAAAATTCTACATTTTTGTTTTTTATACAATAATTTAAATTTTTTTTTAATCTTTTCTAATAACATTTATTTCTAAATAAGAAAAAACTGTTATTTCTATCTTAAATTTTTGTAAAATTTTTGTAATGTGTTATGTCATAATTATTTAATTATTATTAATTTCTCATAATCTAGGAATTTATAATTATTCCCTACTCTTATTCCTCAATTTAACTTAGTTGAAGAAACTAAGTTGGGGATATTTAATGAATGAACAAAATGATAATTAAACCGAAGATTATATATTTATTATAAGAATGATATTTTCTTAATAATTAATAATTGTTTAAAAGAACAATCATATAATCCTTCTTTTTATAAGGTATTGTATTATTACCTTAATACGTTGTATTGATGGGTCTCCAATTATCTTCTTATAACACCTGGTCTCCTAAGATTGAATCTTCTATGGAAATTTTATGACTGCTCGTAAAAGTTGTTTTTATTATTATTTATTTATAAAAAATGTTACGGTGATGTGATAGTTGTAACGTTTACTATAAAAGTGTGGCAACATATTTTCAAGAATAAAAGCATTATCTAATAATTTACCTTTTTAACCCTTTTTTAATGAAACACATTCTTTTTAAACTATTTTGTAAATATTTTTATAACATCTTCTTTTTTGTTTAAAATTTGCTTAAGTAATTCCCAGAGTAAGCTATTTACAAAAATAATCAAGTCTAGAAGCAAGAGCTAGAGCCGCTTGCATCTAAAGGTTTCTTAGCTGCTATATAAAAATATACTGATGAAACATAATGCGTTATAATATAATAAATATTGTAATAATAGTAATTGATTTGACGTCTATAACTGTAAACATTTCTAGCAATCCACTAAGATTATATATGATAATTTTTAAATGTTCTTTACAGTAATTATTAAAAACAATGTTTTGCAGTAAAATAAACTAGTATTTATAGGGAATTGAAAATACAATTTAATTAACTTTACTAAATGGCACAGAAAAATAAATTCTGTAAATTTTGCAGGACTTTTCCGCACTAACGGATACAATCAATTACAAAATTACCCAAGTGAGAAATGACAATCGGTTCAAGATTGATCAGGTTTGGTTGAGGCTTGGCAATTATTAGTTGAGTCTCGTTGAGAAACTTAACAAACTATAATGTTAATAAATTTTTGAAAAAGTTAATTAATGGCATAAGGCCGAAAGACAAGATTTATATTTTATTTATTCAATTATACTTTAATAATAATGAGATCAATTCTGAAAGAAACGACTCCTAATTAATTTATTGGGACTCACTGTCCATTTAACGATGACGCATCGTCTCATTTTTATAATTAATTAAAATGGCTGATGAGTCAAACCCGTAACAAATTATATTATATTTTATCTTTATATATTTATTATATATAATTATTATATATAATATAATAATTATATAATTTATTATATTATATATTATATATAATTTATATTTTATAATCATATTATAATTAATGTAATTCAAGGAAACAATGTCCGGTTGAAGTGGTTCACGTGTAAATCCTGAAGATGTGGTTGTCCCATGAGATTATTCAGTGACTTGCATGGTGAACTATTAATTAGAATAACTGGGGATACGGAAACATGAAACATGACCATCCTTGATAAACCACTATGGACAAAACTTCTGCGTCTAACATGAAGAAACTTTCACTGATGTCTTTTAATCAATTCAATTTAATAAGGAAGTTCAATATCGTCCTACTATATCCAAATATGTACATACAGTCTTCAAGGTATAACGTAAAAGACAAATAGTTGTGAATGGAGAACAGAAAGTATTTTCCTTTTACTTTGAATAAACAAACTTAATTGAATAATATTGAGAAACACTCCCAACTTTAATTACTTTGAGACGAAAGGTATTATTTCAATACCTAACAGAAAAAAGCGGATAATTTCCGTGACTTATAATAAACTAGAATCAAATCTAATGAAGGTAGTAAATCTTGGTCAATGTAACATCATACTTTTAATGAAAGAATCGAACTGAACAATTAGACGTCGTGTTAAGACCCTTGTCTTTGCTAATAATTGTTGATAAAGAAAACTTTAAATTAGTTCGAAATATATGGAAGGCCCTGGCCTTGAAAACAAAGTAAAGGGAGGCCCTTGCCTCTAGACAATAATAAAAATGAAAGAGGCTCTTGTTTCCCGGAGAATAATAAATTAATTTTGCTATGATATCGTGCAGCCAAAGTCCGACATACGTTTGTCTTTCTTCTTCTTCTTCTTAAATTAAGAATTAACGTTACATTTAATTAATTATTTTTGTCCACTTTGAGGATTTAGTAAAATCCTGATTTATTTACAGAGCAGAACGCTCTACACTAATGGTACAGGTAAGAAAGAGAGATGAGGCAATTATGTTTCATGTTTTCATAAACATTACATTGTAAATTATTTCGATGGAACTCTAATTTTAAGTCCTTGCACTTATGTATGAATTTAAAGTGATAAAATTAATTACTTCAAAGAAAGTTATGCAGTCTTAATTCAGTTGGATTTCCAAAGAAAATACAAACTAATTTTTAGCTGAAATCACTGATGAGTGTTTAGGAATCAGAATTTGCATGTCCGGCAACAAATTCAGAATATTCAGATAATATTTATCAACCTAAATTCATGTGCATCCTCTTTCCAATTTAAATTACATACTTTTATTTATAGTTGCAGAATGAAAACAAATGCAATGGAGAAGATTCCTGAAGGCTGAAGGAAGGTCTTCAGAGAGTGGAGATGCAGTCAATGATCTCGGTCTTAGGCGTCATCGCCGTTTTATCATTCATAATTACAACCACAGCAGGTAATAAATCATTAATTATTCATAGGTCACTTCAATTTTTAATTAAAAATTCTAAAATTCTAATTAATCATCAAGATTGGTTCATTATTGATCCAATCTTGAGAAGCAGACATATTACATATCATGTTATCTGAATATTGGTTCAAACCTACATATGTCATTTTTTAATTTCATTCATTCTTTTTAATTTAATTTTACTTATATTAAAAATGAATTTATTTGCTTTAATTAGATTATTTATTATTTGTATTCGTTATTTCTCTTGTTATTCAATAATAAAATTATTATTTGAATTTATAATTATCTTGTTTTCTCGCAGAACGTTAACTTTGTTTACGTTGGAAAATATACTTTGATCCGGTAAACTTTTGTTGAAGCAAAAAGAAAAACAAATTTTTCAACGTAATAACTTATAATCATTGAAAATATGATTCGATCTGTGTATATATACAGAGAAAAATAGTGAAAATCAGCATAATAATATTCATGAAAATTTAAATAATTCGACATTGCCTCTGGAATGATGCTCGAATGATTTTTCAAAATAACACTTTTTAAAAGGGAATACGTCAAATAAATTACTTTGTATTTTATTTTCTATTGGATCGATCGGTTATTTCGTACGGAATGTTTTTTTTTCAACGATGATATAAACGAAAACCACTTATACTCGATGGGGAACAGCACTATCCACTTGCATTAATAAGTTCGCCGCAGATATCGTGTTCTGCATGTGAATATCAGAAATTCTGAATATTCAGATACAACCCAATCCTAGTTTTGAATTCAATTTGATATCAAATTATATACAATGTCACTCCTTCTGCGAAGCCATTTTTTGACTGTACATTTTTAAATTATTTCCAAAAGTCGTAATTATTTATAAATTAGATTCTTGTAACTCATTCACACTACTTTGATCACAATTTTTAATTTCAAAATACTAAAATCACTTGCACAGAATAAAATCATAAAAAAAGATTATTCAAAGAAATGTTGCTCAAAAATAATAATTCAATTAACAAAAAAACAGACATAACATCATTATATCAATTATACCAATCTCTTATTATTAATACTAAATAATATTTTTATTACTATTAATTATGCGTTTAATTATAATATATAATTATTTTGTATAATATGGTTGTATGCAATTATGTCCATATAATGGTGTAATGAATATTTTAAATCGTATTATGAAGTTGAAATAATTGTTTTTGGAGACTATATAATTCTAAATATATTATTGTTCAATATATCAAGTATTCAAAAAATCTATTTTACCAAGAATATTCCTCTTCTTTTTGCTTCTATAATTTCAAATAATGATCTCTTTTTTATATATAGTTGGATTCGCCTCACAAAATACTTCCTTGTAAATGTTATACTTCTCGCGTTGACAAGAAAAAATTGTCACTCTTTGAATTGTACTATTTAGAACTTCTAACTTTTTAAAAAATGAAAATTTAATCAACTGAATGACTCCAAAAATTGAGTCATCCAATTTATCTCTCTACGAGACCTCCTCCCAAAATCAACTGACATAAAAATATTAATCAATTGAACAACTCCCTGAAGGAGAGAGATGTTCAATTCGTCTCACTATAAGACCCTCCTTGAATTGACTGTCTGATCCTCTTCCTTGCAAATGATTTTGTTAGTTCATTTTTTGGTGGTGGGATTTGTATGTTCGTTCAAACACCCTGGGTGTTGCAATGCAATGTCTTTTGCAACCTTGGACTTTTCGGTAGTTGTGTAATTTGTTAATCGTCTACTTATGAGTGCCACACCTTGAGTTGAACGTTCTGATTGTAAAGAAATCGAAAGACTAAAAGATAAATATGTTTACATATTTAAAAAAAATGTTACGAGGATGGGTCGTAACAGTTAGTATTTCTAAGATAATTTTAGAGTAAAGCAGAAAATCGTAGTAGGTGATGACAATTACATCTTTTTTGGAAAACCGATTTGTTATTTTCGACCTTGGAATGACGTAGAGCGCTCATTCCTATGTTGCGCTGAGTATTGATCGTTTCTTCTTGACCTACCGCAAATGCGTGCACTGTGTCTCTTTTGACACATGACAGGGTCTTCTTTAACAAGCGTAGCTTTAATTTGATTTTGACTAAGAAAATTTCCACCTATAAGATTTTGCTGTTACCTTTAATAATAATTGTAAATTTAATTAATGCTTATATATTCTTATTGTAAGATAAAAATAATTGCATTAGAATTGGGGGAATTTTTCATTAGCAACATTTACCATAATTCCTGGATGTGAATTCTGAAAAAGCTTGTTTGTTGTTTAGGACAAGATTAATTTGCCGAGACACGAAAGTTTCTATAGAGTGAACCAATTCCCCAGTGTGTAATCCGTAATACGAGTAGCTATTACTACATAATAATACAAAGGATTACCCCTGGAATATTGGACAGTGGAGTGTAGTAATCGTTGTTTGAGTGTAATCGAATTTACGATACACATACATATGTAGTAGATATAGTTGAAGGCACACGATGAAGTCAGCACGAACAACTGCTAATAGAAGTGTCGGGCGTAAAAGAAAGAGGTGTCATTACTTCATCCGTTTTGCCCTAGGCGAACTCTTGATAGCAGTATACCACTTCGAACGTACTTCTTGGAACTCCCCTTCCTTTTTTTCTTCTTCTTCTTCTTGACTTTTATGAACTACAAAGAGCTCCACATTGAACGTATAGGCCAATGGGGAATTTACTCTGATTCCTCTTCGAGGAGGTTAGCAGGAAATTCTAGAAATTCTCCCCAAGTTTTGATTCGAAAACGAAATTCCGTCGGGATTCATTCGTGACTTTCCTTGTTCTGAACCTACGACATTCTCAAAAGTTTTTGACAGCTTCGAATCATTCTGAGCAAGTCATTGACATTTTTTTCTAAATTATTTCAAGACAAACCGGAAGAGACCGATTAATTTGTTTTAAATGAATTACTAGATAAAAATTCCTAATAAAAAAGATGTTGCATGAAATAAATTTCATGTATTGTTAAAGTACAATATTTAATTCTAATAACTATAAACTATGTTTTTTAATTATCACTCAGGAGACATTTTTTTTTAATTTTGTAAATAAATAAAATTTAATTAAAAACCTTTTAAAAATTTGATCTGGTTTTTTTAGTGTTCAGGTACTTTAATTTCTTTAAAGGTTTCTAATTGCAACCAACACTATCACCATAAAGAGGTTTAATTAAAATTTTACTCTTGAGTAAAATTAGATTTCGTGTATTATGTTTTTTATTTACATTGTATGTTTTTCTGCTTTTTTATAGATAAATATTTTTCCAAAAAATTAATGAATTTTAATTTAATCAATGATTCATACCTATATTGTTAAAAAATTTATTTTAAATCTTACCAAAATACATTAAATTCGTTTTAATTGTAGATTAATTAATGTTTATCAAATATGAATTTACTATTAAATACAAAATGCAGATCACTATTTAACTTGTATTTTTTCTCAATATTTTGCTTTCATAAACTCGACTACACTAACCTATAGAATATGTCACATCGGGTAAGAAGTGAATTGAAAAGGATAGAAACGTTTTTATCCTATTGAATGTCGCTTTTGTTCACGATCAGTTGAATTCAGAATAAAGATGAAGAAGAAATTGGATGTTACTAAAATGCTAACAGTCATTTCAATGAAATAAAATGGAATTAAACTGCTATCAAAATCAATAGGGGCACAATAAAATGTAGTTTTGATATCACAAATATTGATTAATAGTGATTAATATCACAAATATTTTTGAGTATTTATTAATTCAACTTTAGTTTGTTCACTTTATGTTATCACTCAACTATCATCTATCTGGTCCCATAACTTTAATGTATAACTTTACTTACAGTCCCACTGAGGACTGCATAAATCCTTAATTCGCACTCAGGTTCCTGAGTGCGAAAATTTAATTTTATCTGGTTTCTATTTCCACAAATTTTACAGCTTTAATATTTTTCATATTTAATCTTCTTATTATCATTGTATCTGTAAGACTATAATTTATTTTTACTAAAATAATATCCATTATTATAAATATATAAAATATGTACAGAAAAATTATTAAAACAAATGTTTATAAGGTTCAAGAAATTTTTCCATATCTCATGTGAAATTACTAATTCTTTACAGTTATGAAACGTATAATAAAGTACTTTGCAAATTATGCATTGTAATTTTCTGTCTTGTAAAATATTCAGAAATTAATATTTACAAAGACAGGTATTTTTAACTTTGTACAGTAGTGAAGGTGTTGCAAGCTTCTTGCTTCTCATATATTCTTGTTTGTTTCCAACTAAACTCTCATCGTCTTAATGTGACTTATTCATGCGTAACGTTAAAAGCTTCTTGATTACTTAACTTTGTCTCGTTTTATTAGTACTTTAAATTGCAAATTATAGAAAAAAACTTCAAAAATTAATTATCGAAAACAAAAAGAGAATCATTAAAATATACTGGGAAAAGCTGATTTTAATTTTCGTCTTGGATGTTAATGACGTGTTTACAAGCAAAGGGGAATTTTATTTTTTTTACGAGGGAACTGGAAAGTCTGCATAACCCTTGATATCTAAGGCAAATACCTGCAGCCTGGTGCTTCGAGGTTATGTGAGGATGATCGTTCTTGTACTGGTCGACCCACTAAAAACCACACCCTTTGCCTGGACTAATCCTCATACTACAGAACTGCCGTCAAGCTTTAAACTTTGTAGGTGAAGGTCCCTGGGATCTAGCTTTCGCGATCCTTGCCGTTGCCGATCTTTCTAGCCGTCTTGAAGACTCCGTATCCTCCGCTGCTTGGATATGGCTAATGTTCGCCTCATCACCATACTTTTCTCTACATAAGAAGCAGCTTGGTCTTCTACTGCAGTTTGCAAACTTATGAGCGATTTCACCGCACTTGAAGCACGTAGTCGATCTGTCCGCTGTCTTACAAACTCTTCTTATATGACCTTACGCCAGGCACCGGTGGAACCTAATGGCCATCACTATTCTTTTTATTGAGCAGCACATAAAGCCAATCCTTATACGACCCAATTTCTCCAGCCTGTCCGCCTCCTCTGGGTAGGTAACTACTACTGCGAGCTTCATTCCTCGTCGATTGGGTCCTAGGACCGTAACTTTTCTGCTTTCTGGATTCTGAAGAACTTCCACCAGCGCATGTTGGACCTTTTCTTATTGCACCTTCCCCAATCTTCTAACCACTTTGGTGACCTCAGCGGTGAATGCCTCTTTACTGCAGTCTCCTCTGATTTCGATCAGGAGATAGGCATACGCTGTTCCTGTTGTGACTCGGATCACCATTGTAGATCCACTCATCGCTTTCTTTTTACTGGTTTGCTTAGAATTCGGAACTACTGTCATGTACTTCTAAATCTTTCCAAATGGACCAGTTGGAACTGTCCAACACTGCAGCACTGTTGTCACTGGATTTCGACGCTAGGAAGCCAACTCCTGTACCGTGAACGTCTTTACTTAAACCTTTGCTTTCCATATCTCTTTTTCTCCTTACCTTACATCTTGGTTTTTGGATGTTATTTAGTTTTAACTTGAGTACAACTGGAACTTATTATTCTTGGTCGAAACTTGAATTTGTAAAAGAATCTTAAATAGAATTGTTTACAATTCTGTAACTTAAACTGAACTAGGAGCTGAACTGATAGTTTAAGGATTGTGTATTAATCATTTGATATAGGTATAGGTTTTTCGAGTACTGATTTTAAATGGTTATATTTTTTTTCTTTTTTATTTCTATCAAATTTTCAATTTTTATTTTAGAATCTGTTTTACTGTAAAAAATCTATCTTCTTTTTGTTAATGCTGTATTTTATATCTTCAATTTGTTTTCTTGTACCTGAAGGCATACAAGAATATTAAGCGATTTTGCCACCCTTACAATTGTTAATATCCAGAAAACAAGAAAAATTAATAACTTCACATAAAGTAAATATTAAGCATTCAATTTTGCGAAAGGTAGCAAGCACATTGAAACCCCACAGCAAAGTGCTTTTTAAAAGCACTCTAGAACATCTAGAGTGTTTTAAAGTTCGTTTCTGCTTTAACTTTCTTTTTATGACGGGCATATAAGGTTTCCCCGATACAAAAATACATTTAGTAATTACAGTAGTCGCTCGTACCCAATGTGGTTTTTTGTATATATTCAACTAACAAAAGAAAAGATCGATTGAAAATTTTCTCATAAAATGTGTGTGAATCCCTTGTCAAAAGGTTTCACATCAGAAAAATGACTTTCAATACAAAAGAAAAATATTTTCTTTAATAACAGAGAGGAAGGTAGAGCAAATGTTTGGTAAAAAAAATTTTGAAATTACAAAACAAATTTAACATTTTTTTTTTAATTTTTATTTATAGAAGTGTCTTTTAGGTTTAAACAGTTAACATTCAGAACTAATATTGATATAAAGTAGAGACAAACAAATACAAGGGAAAAATAATATTTGTTATTTGAAATTTTTTTTAATATTCTTATACACAAAATCTTTATAAATGAAAATAAAACAAAATTAAAGTTCCTATATGGTAACTCCCATGAAGTAATTGAAAAAATTAGTTTTTTTATAGTAACGTGTAAGCAATAAGAACTTGTTTATTTTTCGATGTCAGTTCTGTTCCTCTTTGTGAAGGCACTTAACTTCCAGAGTTTACGTGCAGGATAAAAGCTTTCAAACTTTTTCTCAGGGAAGCATGTTACTAATAAAACAACGTGTAAACAGTACATCAGAATTGATGGATAATTTTGTCTACTGCAATTTTTTGCAAGTATAAATCTTTTATCTAGGAATTATGTTACACATAAAATATATTTTAACCTCATGATGGGGCTGTAACTTTAAAAGCATCAAAGAAAATCACTTTCCAGTTGATCCTAATCGTTCTTCAGTTCAGAGTGATCTAAATCAAGCGCAATAATAATAAAATATGATTTATTATACATTATTTATAAATAATAATAATAAATATATATATATAAATAATTGTTAAGTAATGTAACATAAATAGCAATTTTATGTTTATATACCTACAAATGTTAATTTCTTCAAAGACATTTTTCATATCTTTTTTCATAAATTTTCGTAATCTTTCGTTTTTCTTGAAAACGAAAGAAGTTGAAAATTAATATCAAGTTTTTGCAATTATCGGCAGACGTCGAAGGAAGGTGTTAAATTTCCATTTTATAAGATTGAAGTAAGGGGTGAAAAGTCTCGATCAGTCACGGAGCCTGAAGGCTTTCTCTTGTTTACAAAAGTGGATAGTTCATATTAGAAAACTTTTGACATTAAATTGAGGGCCCATTAAGTTACATTTTGAGGACAACTTTTCAAATTTATTATCAACAAAAAAAAAATATTTACGTCTATAATAATTTTTTAAAAGAAAAACTTTTTAAAGCACTACATAATCTACGTATAGAATCAATATATGATAAATAATTCAGGATAATGAATATTTCTTTTTTATTAAATTTTTTTCTCACATTCTACGATAATATTGTTCCTAAAAGTTTTACATTGGTTTTACAAAAAACGTAAAAAAAAAATTTCCCCATTTTTAGCTTTATAGAATAATGGTCGACATCCTTGTCAAACATTTTATATTGATTTATGATTAAAGAGTTTAGAATTTTTTGCAGAAATAAATTACAAATAGTAAACTTAGCTTAATTATCCATAGGAAAAAATTAAAGTATTTGAAGTTTTATAAATAAATAAATTTTTGACCTATTTTTTTATTTTCAAAACTCGAGAAAATAAAATCCCTAAATTTGATAGGAATAACGTTGTATATCGAATTCCTTGCACCGGCTTTGTTTTATCTTATATAGAAGGAAAAAATCCTGGGCGACATGTCGTTCCAATGAGCCGAAAGTTTATGAGCGTGATACAATTTCGATTGGAAAAAAATATGTTTCACGCTTGGTAGCGCTGCCGATCGATTTTGTTTTTTGAAAATTTTTTTCATGAAATAATTCATAAAAAAAATTCCAGGACATGATTATGGTTAGTTAGTTAATAATAAGAAGTTAACACGACCCTCGAGGTTTAATAATTTTAATCTTCAAAGAAGGGTGTTCGATTTAAATTGATTTGATTATCGAGTTGAGAATTAAATTAAATTCTTTACTCATAATCTTCCAATAATAATTTGTTGGATTTCCAAGAGGAATTCCGAAGGAAATAAAAACGGAATTGCATTGGCAATGATTATCGGAATCTCAATCAAGACTTTCTGGGAAATCTTTTGAAGTGGGAAAAGTATAAACACTGCTGCTACTTCATTAGCTCTAACAGAAGTTATAAATTGCAGCTACATGATTATGCGCCTGTGAAAATTAAACTTCCCTCTATCTAAATAATTTTTTTAATGTAAATATTAATTGTAGATCTGCAATCCCTTAATTATTTTCTTCTTCTATACTCTATTTCAATTGCATCAGAAATAAAAAAAGATTTTGTTTAAGTCTTTAATAACTCATTCTTTATTTAGCAAAATATTCTCATCGTAATATCCATTTCCTTTTAATCTATAACGAACTGCATCTTCCGGATTGTAAGTGAATAATTGACCAAAGCATGGTTCATCATTTTTTGCAGTAAATAAAGGAAATTAATAAATTATTCATTTAATAATTAATATAACCTTGTATTTATTAAAGATAGTTAAATTTTAACATGTTCTAAAATCGTACTTTTTACTTGTTTTTAATTGAGTTTAAAATATAACTTTATTAAATAAAAGGAATAAAATTTATATACTGTAAATAAACACTGATGTGTGATATCGATCAAAGTCAATCGAACAATTGCTTTTTTTCAATTAACAAAACTTTCAGTTTGAATTGTTGTTATACATGTATTTGTTGTGAACTGAAGGAAAGGTCGCAAACGAAATAACTCTCTTTCAATACGTTCGCGACCTTTCCACTGGAAAACATACAAAAGAGAATTCCTTTGTCCATTAACCGTTTCTTTGAACCTTATTTCTGATGCAGAAATGGGAATCGGCTCCGGTGAACACGACATCAATCATCCTGAACAGGGGAATCGACACTCATCTATAAACATTGCAAACAAGACGATCAATGAAACATCAAGAAAAATGTCCAACGAAATTGGTTACGAATCGTTGACGATTTTTCGAGAATTCGAGGCACTTGAAAAAGGGACGGCGTCCAGGGCCAATTTAGCAGAACGACTACGCGACATTGTAAATAATCAAAATTCTAATTTGACACATGAAATGGAAATTGGTTCAATTAATGAGAAAAGTTATCATCAAAATCTTGGAGGATTCTTGAGAAAAAGTCTACGAAAGAAGTCGAATTTCAACTCGATGATGAAGAATCACTCTCTTCCGGAATCTTCTCTAGAGAGTCCCTTAGAGAGTAGTCTGGAATTTCCAAGTTACGATCCAGCAAGGGTGGCATCGGTCGTTTCGTTTGCCAGCGACGTCGATGAATTCCTACGGGAGGAAGGTGGTTTCAAGCCAAATTCTTTGGTGAGAACTTACACTGAGGATCACGTTGGAGAAGAAAACTTTGAGGATCAAAGTCATCGACATTCTCAACTTACGTCCACTGGCTTTACAGTTACAGAGAAGCATCATGTCCCAACGGAGGTGGATTCGTTGTTTCTTGTTGTCGATAGAAAGTCGTCTGATGAAAAAATAGCATCTTCTCAACTTCCACAATTGTATTATGTTTCCGATCCATTGGTACAAGGGAACAAGGACCAAGGCACAAAAAATGACGAACAAAAACTTTTTACCGATGAAATTGAACATTTTGCCAAAGGTCTTGATTCTATTGAACATGAATCGACGCGGAAAAATCAGGAAAGCAAATCGCCGAATGAGTTTTTAAATGGAAAGAGCGGATCCTTTCGTGAGATAAAATCTTCCAAAGTCATAAATAACCATCGGCAGCCGAATCAATTGATCCTTAGTGGAAAAATCGCTCAGCCGAAAATTTCCAGTCACTTGGGAAAATATACTCCGTATTTTGAAGACGGAGACGAGCCACAAAATGTCACTGCTAGAATTGGAAATACCGTTGTTCTTGATTGCAAAATAGGAATGCTGAGCAATAAAACGGTAAGGGCATTTTTGTTATTGTACAATTTTACACAAAAATTTTGACGACTTTCTTTATTAATTATAATTTTACTGTATTATTTAAAAAATTATAACTTGATTAACCGCTGTAATGCCTTAATACAATAAGAAAATAATATTGTATCGTCTGTTTTAAATGAAAACCAGTTTTAAATACTAGTTTTTTCTACTTAGGAAATATTGATTAACAGTTTTCAGCTGGGAAAAAAAAATGTAATTTTCAACGTGACAGAGTAAAGAGTGCGCGTCTGACTAAAGTGATACTCATTCCACTTTCATAGTTTGAATTGTTCTCTAGAAATTAGTTTTCCCCTTTGAATCAAGATTTCTTCTAATGAAATTTCTAGACTGACGAGTAAAGAATAGCGATTTCTATAATGAATATATAAGAAATGTTCAAGTAATAATATTTGAAGAATATCGATTTATAAGAAATTGTCAACTTTGTGAAATTGAAAGTATTATGAAATCCTTTTATATATATTTTTTAAGACAATTATTATTGACAACTTGAAATTAATTGATATTGTGTTGAGTCTTTCATATTTTCTGGTATCTAAGTACTTCATTTCATGACAATGAAACTGAAAACAACTTTCCCGATTAAACAGAGCAGAAACAATCAATTACTTTTCAAGGATCAATCAAATATTAGTACATTTGTTTCTCTCGAATATTTTTTTGAGTACCAATATTGGTTTCTTACTTTTTTAAAAATAATAATTTCTTTTAAAAAGAGAAAATGTTTTAAAATCAAAAGCTGTACAAAATTACACAAAAAACTGAAACAAAATGAAATATGTAAAAATGAAAATGATAAAATGTTTATGAAAAAATTAAAAATAGAGAACAATGTAAGAAATATGTTTTCGATTTCTTTTTTTTAATCACATTACTTATTCCCGGAAAAAGAAAATCATCCGAAAGGAGTCACGGAGTGATCTAAGGAAATGGAACTATCTTCCATTTACTCTTTTCAAATTCATTCTTCCGTGAAATTCCCGATACTTTAGAAATATATTATTTCAATCGATTTTTAATATAGCTTTATTCTTGGCTCGTATTTGCTTTCACGTGCAAAAATTCCCAGTGAAAAATGTAATGTCTTTACAAAAGGATATTTTCCTTTTAAAACTTTATCCCGCAGTCAATTGATTTTAAAATTAATATTATGTTTATTAATGGATTTTGTAAGTTCTATTTTGTAAATGTTTTTTAAAATTATTTTTCATTTTTTTTATACAGGTCACATGGTCATATCACAGCACCGACGTCATTCGATTGCTGACTGTTGGGCGTATGGTTTATAGTGTAGATCAAAGAATCAGTCTTTCCTTTCGGTAAGTAAAAATAGCACAAAAATACCATTCTTAAGATTTTAATTTTAAATTCAAAAAAAAAAATTATTTAAAATGTTTAGATATCCAACGAATTGGAGACTGAAGATAAAATATGCCTTACCACGTGATTCAGGGTTATATGAGTGTCAAGTGGCCACCTATCCTCAAAATTTAGTAAAAAAAGTCAATCTACTTATCACTGGTATGTAGTTTAAAAATATTAATAAATGTTTTAAATTAAATAAATTTCAAATAATTTAATTTTTAGATTCGATAAGATTTGATTTAATAGTCGAAGAATATTACACTTTATCTAACATATCGACAGCATTTAACTAACGGTTAATAAAGCTCAACTTAATAATCCATATAAAGACCATCAATGTTTAATTGCTATTATTAATGATGAAACTGCTTTATGTTCAGGGTTTAGTATACTATGAAATTTAATAGTTTATGTTCTTGCAACTGAAAGTGGTAGTGTAAAATTTCATACTGTCAAATTTAGAAATCTTTATTTTTCTATTTTATAGACTTTTTTATGTCTAAAATTTGAGGTATAATGTAAAAACATTTTAGTGGAATAATTATAATATAATAATCAAATTTTTTTTTTATTTTGGTTTGATGTAAAATTTTTTATAGACAGTGTGGGACTAGAACAATGCGATTCTACTTTCTGCAGTCGCCTTTACCGCAATAAACTACCTCCCCCAATTCACGCCAACTGTCTGACCCACAGTAAGCTTTTCCATTCCTTTAGGGGTCTCTAGGTTATCGTCGAATCTTACAGTTAGATGTGCTTGAACAAATTGGACTCTGTCTTTCTATTACCAACTTGGATTTACATTTATCATCTGTTTAGGTCTTCTTGAGCCTGAGAACCTTCTGCTTCCAGGTTGTCTTTAGGATTTCTTACCATGTATCCTAGACGAATTATTGATTGCTAAGTCCAAATAAGGAACATCCTTTTCTGAAGTATCCTAATCATAAGATCTCCTGTTTTCGTAGACCTTGTATAATTAAGGTTTTTGAATAGATAATTTTCTGATAACTTAGAAATTCTAATTAAAAACTCTTTATCTTTCAACTCTGATCTTTTCTGACCTAGCGATGTCTTCCGTAGAATCGAAGATAAGCTTTTGCAACTGCTCACAGTCGCTGTGTTTTCTCGTCCATCTTTCTCCTCTCACGATCGTCTGTAGAATCCCTATAACGTTGTTACTCTCTTGCCTTCAAGTGCCACTAGCCATCGCTCTCACAATCTTAAGTTTTCTTTGGAAGTTCGATAAGAGGAAAAGTTTAGATTTCGGTAGGCGAGTAGGTGAATGAAAAAGGTTCTTCTCATTTAGGCAAAGCTTTCTAGTTTCTATTAGAAATTGAAGCTAGTTTTATTAAAAATATTTTCATAAACGATAAATACGTGATTAAATTAATTAGGATTCCTTAATTCTATAACTGGGATTAAACATATCTAATAGTAGATGGACGTGTTCTACTTTGGAAGCAGTTCACATGACCGAATCCATTCTTGATCCCAATGGGAAATTAACTATTAGATCATTACTGGGACAATTTTGATTGCCAATAATACGTCATGATTAAAATCATTGAATTCCAATACTGAATCATTAATAAATCAATAGTCATTATCAATATCTCACAGGACTATTTAAACCCTTCGCTTTAACTCCAAAAGGGTGTGACTTTTATAGCATCCCCTAGGGAGTTGAAATCCAATTTCTTTTTTCTACAGTGTATTAGAAAGTATTTAAATTAATTAAAATAATAATTAATTGAAGAAAATGAAATTTTTCTTAAATTGAGTAATGAGAATCTTTGACAATTTTGTAAATTAAATAAAATCAGGAAGAGTCTAGTTTGTTCCATAGCACTTAGTCCTTACAGCAGCTTTTGTTCCATTTGGTTCCCCTCTTTGGATCAGATCAGATTACCGGCCACAAGCTCTTCGAGCTCGAGGAAATGCGGGTCTCTATTGCGTGGAATTGGCAGCATAAGGGGATTGGGAGAACGAACGACGCGACGTAAAGACAGGGCAGGATTTAGTGCAGAGCCAGATGAGCACCTAACTTGAAAGTTGTCCTGGTCATAGCATATATAGCTCTTAAGGTCAAAAGTAATTTTCTCCAATTTCCCCTCTTTTTTTCCTCACACACTAATTACAAAATTAGTAACTTAAAATTAGTTGGCTGCACTATTATTATTAGTATCGAAGATCAGATTATAGTTTCTGATAAAGAAGTTGAGAGGTATTTCAGAAAACTAATTTTTAGAATAATTTAAATGATATATTAGACTAAAATAATTAATAATAAAAACTAATTTTTACTAATTTATTAAACGAAATTAAATAACAAAGTACAATGTTTAATAATCTTAGAAGATGTATTATCCAATAAATATCCCAGGACTGTGGAACATCCGTCTTCATAAATCTCTCTGAGGGTCGATTGTCAGGTCAAGTTGCAGATTCAAGTTCGATACTTGGATTGGATAGTTGCTAACAAGACAAGCACCTTGAAAATAACCACAGCAATATGTGATTCCAATACAATGTCCGTTTCCGGTGGTACATAACTCAATCGGTATCGAAGCAGGTTTCAATCGATGTGGCTAATAGCAGCAATTTCGTCGTCAATTCAGCACTCCTCCTTCTCCTCGTCATTATAACTTGCCCTATATCCGATATACAAGTACCAATGCAGCTTCCATTAACTCCACAACGACTCTTAATTTCATTTTTTTGAAAAGCTCTGAATTGTCAATTCCATTTATCTTTTATATACACAGTACTTCTTGAGACTCAGTTAAGATCGTGGACAGATTCCAAAAACTTTTTTTCTTTAATCAAACTAAATTTTTAACTTAATTAAAATGAAATTGTTTTCATAAGTTGACAAAACAAATTTTCTACTGTGCCAAATTTTTTCAACTAAAGAATTATGTAATAGAAGAAATCATGCACAAATTACGTAATACTAATTAGATAATTTTTAAACATCTTCTGTCAAGTAACAGATCATACATTTTTATACGTAACTTTATAAAGCTAACTAAATCTCCACTTGAGGAAACTTCAACATCCGTTTTATATTCTGCGTCAGGTATATAATCAATATCTTCGTTCGCAATTCACTCTACGTTATCAAATTATGCCTTGGATTCGTTAACAATACAGACATTTTTTTCCATGACGAATGGTATACTTGTATAGGTAACAATAATTACAATAAATTACGTTCTTTCTTATACAAATCTGCAAAAAAAAATTACTATGGCTATTCAAATCATATCTCTATCATCAACAACTTTCCAGATTGTTCGAAATTTCGTAGTTCTATTTCGGAATCTATTGTCTCTCCTTTACTATCTAGATGACTTTCAAAATGAGCTCAGAAAGTCGTTTGCTCAGAAGTGCCATTCTCTTCTCAATCCGATTGAAAGCACTTCTTGATATGTTTGTAAGATTATAAAAATAGCATCTAAATGATCGAAAATTAACCAATCGGAGACAAACTTTTAGACTGAAAATCATTAACGAATTACTTAATTCAATTAATCGCACAATATAACTTGAGAAAAATGTCGTAAAAGATTTTTAAAAAACTCTAAAAGAAGAAACTCTTAAAATGTGAAAGAGAAAATCATTGTTTCGCCCCAGGATCGGGTTATTTTACCCTATCAATAGATTTTAAGAGAAAAGTACAATAATTCCCGGAGGACTTAGAATGTCGTCAAAGAAACAACACAATTCTATTCAAAACACCTAAATTGGTAATAAAAACTCATCTGCCTTTTTGAATTGCTAATAAAAAGTTTACAAAACTAAATTCAGAATACAAACTTAAAGTTGTAAAACGAGTTCAACATCGGGAATTTATCCATAAGGAAAATTGTCGTCAATTCTTATCCAATTTTGCATGTCAATAAAATTCTAGAGCCCATTACAGAAGAGGTAAAAAATCATCAGAAAACTGTATTTCATTGTTATTAAAAATGTTGTTATCATTGTTAGGTAAAATTAATTTATTCCACGATCTCCTAAGGTTCTGTTACTGGCAAGCATTTACTATCTGAACACAACAGATTTTCATACTTTTCTTTATTTATTATTAACGAAGTATATCTATACTTTGATATATTGGTTTTCTTGTCCGCGTCTTGCCCCCTCTCAATTAGTCAGCTGTTGAATATTCCTTGTCAGCGTGTCATGAACCTGTGTTCTGTCAGTTTTTCCGGATTTCTGAAAGGATTTAATTTCTAATAAAAATGCTTTTCATCTAAATAGTAAAATTAAAATAAAGTTAAGTTAATTGTCAATAATTAAAATATACACGCCTTTAATTCTCGCGAGAGAGTTATTAAAAAAAGGTTGCTTGTTTTCAAACAATATTGTATATATATACAAACGGCAGAATACTCTTAATTACCTGCTCTGTAAAATCCACTGCCTGTAAATGGTTGATACTTCTCTGACGGAGCAACTTTGTGAGAGAATCCAAATGAAATACTTTTGCAGCGATTATTTCGCGCACTCATTCCTGCGATTTTCCAGAGAATAAACACGGAATTACATTAATTGATTTCCACGCAGAAGTCTACAGCCCGGGATAACTTAGCCGTTTATTACGTCCGTTTATTTACTCTGTGCGCTTAATAACCAACGCTCTCGTTGGCGTAAGTCAGGGACTTTCCTCTGGCAAGCAAAACTTATTTAGTCACCTGGAATAACAGATCGTATTCTCGCCTCTTGGGTAAAAGTGTTATTCGCTTTCTCTTATTATGTCATATAACACAAAAAGTCTCAGTGATACCAAAAAGCATTTTTTTTTTGTTCTCCACTTAGGTCTCGTGTTTTTTTGCATTACCTTACTAATTTCACACCGTGCTCAGGAATTCCGCACTGCGTCGGAATATGCCATACAAAGACTCTAGCTTTTGTTCTTACATATAATACGAACACGTTTTGTTGGTAATTCTGTGACTTAAGAATGGTGTTTGCTTAAAATAAGCAGCTTTTTAAACTCAGTTTATTCACTAAATATGAATTAGTTTTAATTAACTCTTTCACTTCATTCATTTGTTATAAAATAGTATGTACATTTTTTTTAATATTATTTGCATAACATTCATTTAATTTTTGCGAAACTTTTTAATATAATTATAAACTAAATTAAATAATTAATTTCTTTCACATTATGTAAAAAAAATCTTATTTCACACACAACAAAAATTAGACTTCTTATAAAATTATAAATAAGGTCATTTAAGTTGAAGTAATATTTCAGAATTTCGTTGCTTCTTCTGAGTAGTATACATAGTTGAGAATTTTGAATCAAATTTACGAAGTAGAGCCTTTTTAATGCATAAACAATTCAGGCTTGTTTGTCAATTCATGAGCCTGCAGTACTTGAACTCAATTTTCTTAAAACGCATTTTCCGCTTAAAGTCCCGTTTCGACCTGGCCATTGAATTCTAAAGTCGATGAAAGAGCTTTCAAAATAATCGGATTCTCTTTTGTAGTAAGTCAAATTTCGTTAGATATATATATTTTTGGTAAGCAAACTAATTTAATAAATATTCGTCCTTTTCTTGGATGAAAGAGAAATATTTATTTCCTAGAAATAACATTAGAATTCTAGCTACTAGGATTTATTATAAAATAGAATTTATAAATTAACTACTTGCGAAAATCCAATTAACATCGAGTCAAGATTATTGATTTTATCTTTTATGAAATGAGAATCACAAAGGTCCTTATTTTCTTGTTAATTAATGCAAGCATTGATATTTACTCTTTAACAAAGTACATTACAGGAAATAATTGTGCTACCAAAAAAAATATACACTGAAAAAAATCTTTTTCATTCAAATAATCGGTTACTTTGTTATTATGAATATTTCTTGAAAATGTTTGTCTTGATGATAGGAGATAGTGGGACAGGAAAAATAGAAAAAAAGGAATAACCAATGAATAGGAGAAGTTCGAAGAAATAATATGGTTCTTTTATGTGACGCTTAGCAATCCAAGTTTTTTTTTTTAATGAAAAAGAATAGCTTCTGTCAGAAACTGAAACAAAGCACTTACACGTAAATAGCGAAAGTCGAAAAGTGTTATGCTACCGATAACCGTAAAAGCAACCATAAATCACGCGGCATATTATTTTCTCCTTGATAAATATTAACAGTTTGATAAATTGATCACAATAAATCAATGATGCTAGAATCACATATTTCTATTTCCTATCTGACAGAAATATATTTTTGTGAATTAATTATTAATTAATTATTAAGAATTCGAATCAATCTGACTTATTATTTGACTTTGGATAAAACCGGACTAATTCCTAATTATTACTAGTCACACAAACTACAGTGAGTCCTGATGACAAAAACTTGATAAGTCGGAATGTTTCGAATTAATGAATCAATCCAGAATTTTTCGATTTCTAATTGAAATTAAATACGACAAGTAAATGCTACAATATTCTACTCATTAATACGTAATATACGCATAAAAAAGCCCAGTTATCTCGATCAATCAGAAAAGTCTAAACGACGATTGCTATATGATAAATTACTCTTCTTCGCGTGTTAAAAACGTATCTTTCAAATAAGATGTTCCATGACAGCTGCTACATTCTCACATTTTAAGTAGTTTGATTCTGTTTCGTGTACATCAATACACATGCGAAATTTAAATTCATTCTACACTTTAAAGTTCATATAATAAATAATGTATGTGAATGTACTAATAAATATTACAACACGACGAGAAAAAGATATTTAAGAATTATAATGCATTAAAGACTAGAATTAATTAAAATTAATTACAAAGTCCTTCGTTAATACTTAAGTTTCAAATTAACATAACAATAAAATTAATTCTTAATCGTAAATTTTATTATTAACATTAATAATAAAATGCTCTCAAATTTCTTAATCATAATAGAATCGTAAGTCCTACTCGTACTTATTAATAACTCACGTTAAAATGTTTAAATAAATCCCAGTTGTGAATTCCCAATTGGCAGGAATGTCTATAGTACGAGTGAAGATTATTAAATTTGCATAACGCTTAGGTTAGCCTTGTAGGTCACGTCATGTTGAAGTCTCACGATAATTACTTCGAGGAAATCCTGACCACTACCTATATTTTTACACCATTCAGTTTAAAATATCAATTTGAAGCTATTAACTAATTTTGTTTTCTTAAAAAAGTATTCACAAAAATTTTACCAAAAAATCTTTACATTTTTTAAAAATTAATTATATCCATGAGGAATCATAGCTGATTTTTTCTCCAGATTTATATGAGGAAGAAAAATAAAATGGATTTAATATTCTCCATTTACAAACTCCCTTATCGTTCGTAGAAAGTAAATTCGATTTTTTGGTCCAATCACTAATGACTATTCAGACGTCATTATAATGTTAGCTTTTTTCTTACTTTGAAAATGGAAAAGAAATTAAAGTGCAATTTGTCCGTTATAGATATTGAGATTGCTATTAGTTAAATGCCGTTCGCTGTTTTTAGTGGAAAAACGCTTTTGTTAGATGGAGGATAAAGTTAAGTGCACGTTTTTACCACTTTTCTTACAGCGCCAATTCTAGCCATAATGGACGACTCCGGAAGAATAAAGTCCGGAGAAAGACACCTGAAAGCAGGAAGCGCGTTAAGACTGAGATGTGAGGCAAGAGATGTTCTTGAGCAACATAATGAGACTGTCATATGGACCAGAGGAGATGAAATTCTTACAGAGGACGTCAGGTTAGTCTTTTTTCTAAACTTATTTTTTCTATAGTTATATAAGCTTCATCTCGTATTTTTATTTCTCTTCCTTCAATTTTTCTTTTTAAGCCATAATTTATTGGCGTCAATCCATTATATTTCGAATAATGCTATTGCCAAATACTTTTAAAAAATAATCATTTCTGCGAAGTATTACAATTTTTAAAAATTAATCGTAGACGACTTTTTTTGAAATATTATTGATTGACCCATACAGTAAATTGTTTCCAATTTCTTAAATTACTTTATTAAAAATGAATTTCTTAACTTTTTCCTTTGCAGCGAAAATAGAACAACAGAAATATTGAATGAGAGAGAGATACAAGTGATTATTAGTACAATAGTTGTGGAAAGGGCTACATCCAAACACGCTGGTAATTACAGTTGTGTGGTACCTGAAAAAGCTAAATCGACGGTTGCAGTTCACGTTTTAAACGGTAAGCACCACTAGTAAATATATATAGAAACTTATCTCTTTTATATTTTAAATAATTGGATATAATATTACTTATTCTTACTTAAATTATTTACTCTCCCTACAATAAGCAAAATTCAAGGCTCCGAATGCATCTATAGCGTAGATTTTAATTTATTATTGAATTTGTTTTAAATTTAAATAACTTATTATATTTTCAAGACAATCTACATTATCTACACTTTTTAATTAATTATTTTGCCAAGACGCCAAATTATTTTATGGAAAATAACTAAACCTAAAAAAATAGTTAAATAATAACCCGACAAGTAAATTTTTTAATTCTAATTAGGAAAAACTAAAACCAGCTCAGGAATTCCATTAATATTCACTTCAAATTTTAGAAAAAGTTAAATAATGGTAGAAGGCCGAAAGACAAGATTTATATTTTATTTATTCAATTATACTTTAATAATAATGAGATCGATTCTGAAGGAAACAACTCCTAATTCATTTATTGGGACTCGCTGTCCATTTGACGATGAGGACTCGTCTCATTTTTATAATTTTAAATTTTAATTATTTTACACGAAAAAGAATAGAACACAACTTGACTCTACGAACACCAGGATGAGAATGAATGTAAAATGGCTGACGAGTCAAACTCGAAAGCGGCGCTAAACTGCGGCATTTCTTTTCGGTGTCATTGAGATCAATTAATATTCAATAATATAATACCCGCGACCGGTAATCTATACGCAGTCGTCGGTAACTCAAATCCCTGCACTATTTGATGTTAAATTAATTGATGCGAGAAGTCCATAGGAAATTGGCTACCAATAATAGTTTGACAGATCGTCAACAAAACAGCAATTTCATCTTCATGATGTTCTTGAATATTCGGGACTCTCATCCAAATATATACACCAGGAAGCTCTTCCCTTGGTGACTTCTAATTTCAATGATAGATAGTGATGTCCTCAACGTCTTTATGACAAATCAGAATCGAATTAATTATTATAGGTCGACTATTAATCTGACGACTTTGGCAATTTGGTTTGTTAATACGTGAATTTGATTATTTAAAGAAAATGAAGTGAATATCATAAGAAAACAATTTTTATAATTCATAACATTTTGCAGCCATTATGGATGGATTTCCACCCTGGTGTGATGTTATAATTATAATCATTACTTTTATACTCTTATCATTTTAGATAAATATGGAAAATTAATATTTATATGTCATTTAGTTTTGCATATAAATACAAATTTTCGAAAACTCGAGATTAATTATTTAGTATGAAAGAGAAAAATGTCCGTGCGATATTAAAGAGCAGCGTCACATAAAACAAGTTTGTACAAAAGTTTCTCTATTAGCCGAAAACTCACTTTAAAGCCATTTTTATTTTCACTGTTTTGAAATAAATTTTATCTGCTTCACATAGACTACATAGAAATACACGAAAAAAAGTAAACTAATCATGAAATATTTTAAAATTTATAAAATTTAATATATTTAATATTATTATTATTACCTAGTGGAAGAAATTAATGCGTGGTTTACTTTGTTAAATACAAATAAATTTTAATCGAATATATCGCAATAATGACATCAAATATAATTTATGGAGTAATTTTATTTCACTACAATACTATCACTGCAATATTTGCTAGTAAGTGTAATTTATGACGTAAAATATATTTCATACTGTGTAATTTATGATAATGTAGAATTTTTCATAGTGGATAATTTATTAACATAATCAGCTGCTTTTATGCAAAATAGATTGGCGCTATTGCCACACTACTACTACACACAAGTGAAAATGATCCTTTTTGTTTGTCAGATGTCGACAGATATGTTGTATACACTACAGAATAATAAAATTCATCCTGTAAAATAGAACAGGAAATTAAATTTATGCTAAAGATTCATAAAAAAAAGTTGTCTTTGAAAAAGTGGGAAAAAAGTTTAGAAACACAGGATAATGTAATTATTTCATGAGTAATTTAAACTTTTGTTTTTTAGATATGTATTACACTATTTTTGCAGTAGTTGGGAATATTTCGTCACTTATTGATGAGCTGCATGAATTTCTTATAAAACCTCACTTGCAAAATTTAGGTTTTTCTTGTACAGTTCCCGACTTCATTCTGAACATTCTTTAATTAATAATGAAAGTTCTTCACTACCTCAGAAACTTGACATCGTATCCTGGATTCCGAAAATAATACCCGGCTTTTTCTAGACAATTTCTAATTTATTAAAAGCTAAATATTTTTAAAGCATTTACAATTTTTTAATTTTTATTAAATTAATAACTTTTTTAATCTTTAATTATATAGTTCAATATTCCTTTTTCACAAATTTGTTTTAATGAACACTAAATAATTTTTTTTTAATTAAGACACAAACAACTAAATTAAAAATGAATTGTAAAAATTATTTTGTGAAATTTCCTGCCATAAATTGGAGCATACTTTTACACTTCTGATTCGCTCACAATAAATTATGAAGTGTCAAAAAGTGCTGTCGATGATCCTTTTCAAAGGATTCAAACAATACTTCAATGATCCACTTCCCATTCGTAACAACTGTCATTTGTGGTTCTTTGTTTACATCCCAAACGAATGAGTAGTATGCTGTGAAGTTTACTAATTAACATTGATTAATTATTCACTATATAAATTATTATTTTACTCATAATCGCAAATTTTAATAATATACGAACTTTGTTAATGTATTATTTCTGTATTAATGAAAACAACGCTTTAAGGATTTCAAAAACTATCATCATAATATAAAATTGAGGTACTTAATATCTATATATAATAAATCAATAACCCCATAAATTATTTTTGTTGCACACGTAGATTTACTCTTTCATATGAATGAGTATAAGAATAAAAATATTTGACACAATATAGAATAAAATTTCAATAAGAAAATAATGTGTTTTGGACACTTCTTGATACATACATGACCCAGTGTACGGAACACATTTCTCATCTCGAAATAAGACGATGCCACATTTTCATTTGATATATGGAAGAGAGATCTCGGTGCACAACGGAAAAGGATAAGGCGACGAAATATAGTTTTCCTCTTATCGGATAATACGCTTCCACGAATCGAACGAAAATTTTAGAAACTGCGGAGCCAGATTCGACGTTATTCGGTCACTCTTTTTCTTTCCTTCTCTCAATTGTAGAGGACAAAAAACCGATCGACTATTGCCTGGTTATATGGTTAGAGCACTGAACTCGTGATTAGCTTTTCGACTTTTAACTTCACTCGCAGTTCAATTTTTACATTTTGTACAATGTATTTTTCTCAATTCTTTCTCTATTTGAAAAGTATTTTACACATTTTTTATGTATCAAATATAAATAAAAATCGATTTCAAGATTTTTAGTTTCTTTTTTAGATATTTTTGTTCTTTACATTTCGATTGTACTCCTTTTTTTGAAACTAGAATGTATGTTACGCTGAACAAATCTAGTTTCAATCAGTCACATTTACCCATTATTTGTATTTTGCTTTTTGTAGTCAGTTTAGAGTTCTAATTGGACCATCAGGGTCTTTTAAAGTTTCGGTGAAACATAATTTATTTTTCCGTCTGACCTAGACAACGAGACAATCGAAGAAGAACGCGAGGAGTTTTTAAAGCTTAGTCAGGAGGAAGCTGAGTGTCTTCAGAGGATCGAAGAGGAGATCGCCAAGATGATAAAGTCGTGCGAAGTTCAGAAGAATGTCAATATGACTATTAAGGACGGACTTAAGACTCTTCCGGATCTTATCAGTGAGGCGAAGACAAAGCATGCAGGTCATGGGTGCAAGGCCTACAAGAAAGGGAAATCTGATCAAAATCAGAAGGGACTTCAATAAGAAGTCATTCACGGCGAAGGACATCAAAGCGGTTGGAAGCATGAGGAAGGTGTAGACCATGGATCGACAAGTCACACTGGAGATCTGCGACCTGGATTGACTTACCCAGGAAGAAGAGGTCCAACGGAAATGCTCCAAAAGCCAGTAAGCAGGATGATGACGGTCCTTGAACCCAACCGACAAGGAATAAAGCTCGCAGTTGTAGTCACCGACCCAGAGGAAGCGGACAGGCTGGAGAAATTGGGACGCATAAAAATTGGCTTTATGTATTGACCAATAAAATGAAGGGTGATTGTCATTAGGAGCCACCGGTGCCTGGCGTACAGACACATAGGGAGTGTTTATCAGACAGCGGACACATCAACTGTGTGCTTCAACTGCTGTGAAGTTGATCATAAGTTTGCTAACTGCAGTAGAATCCCAAGCTGCTTCTCATGTAGAGAAAAGTTTGGTGATAAGCCGAACATCAGCCATTTCGCAAGCAATGAAGGATGTGAAATCTTTAGCACAGCCCTTGAGAAGACTAAGAAGACTCTCGCACGAACGAAAAATAAATAGGCCAAAAATATCGACAAAGGTCGCGAATGCGGGAATCCCAGGTACCTTTACCTACGAAGTTTGAAGCCTGACGGTAGTTGCATTTTATTTTAATGTTCTTATTATTTACGGTATGAAACACATAATGAAACTGACAAGAAGTATTGAAGACAGGAATAAAATTTCGATACAGTCCAATTATAAATCGGATACAAATCTAACATAATATAAATCATATTCATCCGCAATTCCATTCGACATGAATGAATCTTTGAAAACTTGATCTATCATAAGTCTTTCTCCGTCAGAATTGCATGACATTGTGAATAAAAAGATTCGTTAAATATTTTCACAACTCACACAAAGTTTCTTTCTCTCACAACTACATACAACTTTTTACAATAATCCTAAATTGTGTTTTTTTTGCTTTGACTTTTAATCTACCAGAATGAGGAGGGGGAAGCGAGGACATGTTCTGTTAAAGGGAACATTGAGAGCATCAGAAGTAGAGTCGTGATAACGTAGATTAGAATACATGTCTTTGCTTCAACAAAGCTGCTGAGCTCTTTTCGTTTTATCTCGTTTTATCTCCGGTTTCTCTCTTTCGCCTCTGACCCGACTCATGATCTCTAGGTATACATATTCGACGCACGATAAAACCGTGGGCTTGGCCACGTAATGCTAGTATGAAAATGAGGACGAACCTCGTTGAAACGAGTTGCAACCCCGAGAACCGTTATCATCCTTCCTCTCAGTTTTTTTCGGCCATTTGCAAGCTTTATTGTAGTTTCGACGTGACATTCTTGCTATAACTGGTACGCTAATGCATTCTGTCCTCAGATCTACAGCAATATACACAGCACCAAAAAAAGAAAAACAATATCTGCTTTCGAATTTTCATACACCTTATAATACACCAAAAAAAAATTTATATATTCTCCAGAAAAGAATCCAACGTTTCGATGAAAATATTACTTTTGCAAAAAGAAATCTTCGCATTTTACAGTTTTATTATCGACGAAGTGACTTTTTTAAATTTTCTTTCAATTTAAAGTTGCTCTTGTTACGTCCGTAAAATCATTACTCAATTTTTTTTAAATAAAATATTTATTCTTCTATCTTTTTAGATAATTTTCAATTAGAAATTAATATTTATTGCGAAAATTTGCCTCGTTCAAGGCAATTAGGAAAATTATTATCCGAGATTTAGGGTCCAATCTCAAACCAACAATTTGAGGTTTCTTCCATGCTAAGTCTTACGAGATGAAGGGCTTAGTGCCTATGGCTATTATCCACTATTCATGAATCAGTGTTAACATTTTTACTAATTCTGAAAGTTAATGGATTTTCCTGCATTATTTATAAAGCAATAAGCTTCATTTTGTACAACAAAAAAAGAGAATGCTTTACCAAACAAACAAACGGATTTAAAAATAAAACTTGATTCTTTCCCCTTATATTATACGATTCATTAAAAGACTTTTGAAATTCATAAGCTCTTCGTGATTATTATTTTTGTAGAATATTTCATTGCAGTTTTTTTTAAAACGAAAGATTTAATTGCATCCAACCGCATTTAATAATTCAAGGAATGATACTCGAATAAATGTACAGTAACAGGTGCAGTGAAATATGACGATATATGGAAATTTTATGGATCGCATAACAAATTCTATTATCTAAATGCTTTGAGAAATGTTTTAATTTTATTTTGATAAATTTGCACATGTATTCTTTTCCTTATACAATGGAAAAAAATTAATTAATAATGGTAAAATCTTTGTATGTGAGTGTGCGTAAAAATTCTTTATACGATGAAATTTTTTTTTTAAATCTTTCACCTTGTGATTTTTTGTTGATTTTGAATTTTTCTATAATTTACATCGGAAATAAATATTCAAAAGATCATGAAAAATTCATGTGTAACGTTTGGGAAGATATGAATATTTTAGAAATTAAAGTTTTACTAAGCGGTTTCTCACTTTAAAGTTCTAAAAAATGAATGTAGAATATTTTTTAAGAAAGATTTTAAATGCTTTAATATTTTAAAATAAAAATAATATGTTAAGTTATAATTGAGCTATATAAGGTTAGATCAAAAAAGGATTAGGATAAATGAATTTGGTAATGGTCTTTTTTATTCTTTAGTTTAGTTTTCTACTGTTTTTATAAAATTTGATTTTGTTTATTTGTCTGTTTTATCTATGAAATTTTTTTTCGTTTTTCTTGTTTGTTCTGTTTAATACTTTTTTTACCAAACTGTTTTATATCTCTCCTATTATTGGCATTATTTGTTTTCCGTTTTATATTTTCTGCGTGGATTTTATATTTCTAGACTTTATTGTGTTCTTTTGTTCGACTCTGATTGGTAATGAACTTTTTTTGATATTATGTATTATATCTATATTAAATTAAATATTTGTTGTTTTAAATTCTCTATATTTTATTTAATTCATATTACCTAGCCCTTTTCATTAAAAGCCCTAGCCACAAATTCATTTATCAATTGTTTTTTTTTATTAATTAACCCTAAAAAAAGTGGACGCTGTATTTTATTTATAAATCAATTTTATTTTTTGCTTATATCAAGTTTTTTAAGAGTCTTTAAAGATGTTGAAAACGGAAGAGATCCAAAAAACACATATACCTGGACGTAGCAATTTTTTTTAGAAAAGTTGAATCCACAAAGCTCCGTTAAAACGACTATGTCTCTCTTTGAAAAATGTCCCGCTTTTTCGTTGCGACTCTGACCGATAGAAGAAATGTGCGGCTTAGGAGAAGAATTTCAGATTTCTGATCCTTAAGATTTTTCTAAAGAGAGAGAGTGAGAGAGAAGAGCTGCACTAAGAAAGCGGAAGTAGAAAAAGTGAGGATGAATTGACAAATTCCTCATCGATCTTGGAAACTAGCCAAACCTACAATTTCTAACCGAGAGTTTCAACGACAAAGAAAAAGGAACAGCTTCCAAGCAATGATCGCACGATCCTCTAGCATCTCAAAAACCCGCCCTAAGACCACTTACCTCTACTTCTTTTAATCGGAAGTGATTCTTTTCAACTTCGCGCATCTGTGATTCATTAAGAAATTATTCATCATTTCTCAACTCACCACAGTAATTTCGTGGCAGTAAATTTCTAGCATAGAAAATAATTACAAAAGTAAAATATCTCCAAAAAGAAATGAAAGTTTTTAATATATATGACAGTATGAGAATCAAAGTGTCAAAATGCGGAAACTGCTTTTTTCTCTTTTGTTTTAAAACTTGATGGAAATAGGATTTTATATTTTTATTTTTCCATTGAGGCTAATGTATAAAGTGCACACAATGATTATAGTCCAACTTCTCAGAAGTAGAACTTCCAATTTACAGACATGTCTGATTTTATTTATACAGATAGTAACTCGTGGTTTTTGCCTTTTTATGTTGCAGGAGAATTGCCAGCGGCAGTTCACGATGGAAGCGGAGTTTCACGATCCGTTCTCAATCTCTGGCTGATTCACTTGACCGTCAGCTACGTTTTCACCAGATGACAATTCTAAGGTAATCGAATTACTGAATACTTTTAGCTAAAAGGCACTTGCTAAATAAATAAGTAAAAAAATACAGATATGAAAAAATATATTAAAATTCGATTTCTGATAAATCGTCGAATGATTAAACTTCGATGATCAATAATCATAGTATTTAGTATTAATTCGATATTACATCAGGAATGACTTTGCATTTGTCACTAGATGTACGACAATTCATCAGAGATAAATGGGACAAATCGCCTCGAGTCATTATCGCGTCTCCAAGTTCATTAATTTTCATAATTATTCCAGTGATTAAATCGTCCGAAACCCCTTACTCTAAAGTTCTCGTCTCCCTCTCTCTCTCCCGATAATGTAGCCTGCGAACCGCGGAAAATCCTTCTCGGTAGTTACAACCTTTTCCAACCAAGTTTTTTATTCAACCTCCTAATCCGAGTTTCAGATGAGTTTTCAGACGAGCGCTCGAAAGCCCCATCGACTTATAAGAAGCTTGCAGAAAGTTTCCGGGCTAACGTGAAACCTACGCTGAAAAAAAGGAGACAAAAAAAACCAACCATCTGCAGGCGTCGTCACGAAATCGAGCTACAGTCCTGGATTAAAATTGAAATTCGACACGTCTTTCATTTTACAACACGATATATTTCCCTTTTTGCCATTCTGTGCATTCCATTTTATTTCGATGCAATCTACCATTGTATTTGCACATTTTACAAATATTTTTTTTTAACTTCTCCTTTAAAGTCGCTTTTAAAAATATTGTTATTTCAATTTTATTTCTCACAATTATTTCAAATTATTATTTTAAATTACTATTGAATACTTTTTTTTGACAAATTTTTTTTTAATAAGTGAAACAAAAGTACATCTGACACGATCATATTAACAAGGAAGTATATATGAAAGTAGATATGAGTTGGGCCAAAATAACATAAATTAGAGGTAACTAATAATTCACGGTTTTATCTTACCGAGTCCAATCCCCCATTGTGAAGATAATTCTGGTTGAGAAGAGCATACGCCATAGCGGAAACTATAGCTTATAGTGTATAGTAATAGTTACAGTTAATAGTAGCATATCTAGTGTATGCTTTCATTATCAGACACCATACATCATGTAGGAGAGTGAGTCGTGTGACGTTACATCCGTCCATCCCTCAATGCAAAACATTGTCCTGAAGCCTCTTCTCGTCGATGCGTTGCCATGGTGGTGAATCGTGAGAAATCTTTTTCGCGAATTCGAGACGAATCGTAAAATGAAATCCGATCTCTCGTCCCGATGGAATAAAGTCAAATTTATTCGGAAATAAACTTCGGCAAAGACTGTAAACAATTTAATCGATTGTAAATTCATGCGCATTTTTTACCTCATGCATTAATGTAACTCTTTACATTTCTTCGCACCTTCTATACAATTAAAACAGATTCTAGACATTTTTCATTATGCATCTACAAATTATGAGGAAAATTATATTCACATTTTAAATTCTTGTGCACTATTTATTTTTGTTCATATTTCTAAAAAAAACTAACAAAAAGTCAAATAAATATTTGTAATGGTATTAAAACATCTAAAATATGGTGAATGAAGGCAGTGAAAAATATAATTAATGATAGTTAACAATGATAATAATTAACAGTTTGATACGATTGCTTTTTTAATTAATAGTAATCAAGGGTAGAATTCATCAATTGTTAATTTCAATCCAATTTTAGACAAATGAACATAGCTTTACAGTTGAAAGTACAAGCAATTGCAAAAAAAAATTTTTTTTCCTCTGATGTAAAAGTAATTTAGACAGATACAACTGTCTTTCTACAACATGTGATCCAAAGGAATGCCTTCGCAAAATAAATTGTTTCAAAATGACTAAACAAAAACGAACTATATATTTTGTTCACGAGAGTGACGATTCGTAAAATAATTAAATGGAAAATTTTAAAACAAGTAAATTTATGTTAAATAAAATATAAAACTTTAAACAAAAAGAAAATAAATTTAAAAAAACATATATATAAATAGAATATCAATCCATGATGGGAATAAATGTATGTAGCTTTATCTCAACAAAAAAACAATTCACCAAAAAGGATTTAATATCAGAATTCTAAACGAATGTAGTTGTTAGAACCAAATGTTTGGTATAGTTAAATTACATAATTTGTTCAGCGTACAAATAAAAGTTTTATGAATATAAAAAATAGTTTTTTATGATTTTTTTAGGACAAAGGTAAAAGGATACAGGATCCGTTAATTTACACTATCATTAATGAAACCAAATTCTTAAAAAATATAATTATTCCCTAATCTAATTCCTCAATTTAACAATGGTAATCCTTTTCTGAATTGACAACAATAATCCTTTTTCTTTCGAATATTCAAATTATTTCTTGTTTTGTTTTCCTTTTTTCTATTTGATTTATTGATTACACTCAAATTATTTTTTCATTAAAACGAAAATCGATCTGATTAACCGATTCGTGGTCTCACCTCAAAACTCACGAAACTAATTGTCTCTATATTTCCCTGTCGATCTGTTTTATTGTACGACAATTTAGTGGGGAAAAATCCACGTTGATGGTTTTATGAGCTTGTTACTAAGTTGATCTTTTTTGCCAACTTGCAATTTGCAAAAGGTTCAAGTGTAAATTCACTTTTAGTGAAATGAATAGTAAAAATACTTATTCTGTTTATAAAAATAGTGCTTGCAATAAGCTTAAAATTGCCTTGAATTATTTTTATATTACATTTTAGTTATCCAATCAAACCTCAAGTTATTTGGAAATCACTCTTGAATAATTAAAATTGATGTTGACAAATGGCTATTGAAAGCAAGGGAATGAGTCACTCTTTCCACAAACATTCGCCTCTATTGCACTTGGCACGACTGTCAGACCTCAATGTTATTAATTTCACGGATAGACACTTGTGATGTGACAAACCAGGAATATCTGTTAGAATTTCTGATAGGTAACGTTATATAATTGTCTTTTGTCAAAATACAATCTTGATATCTGGTAACTTTGTATTCAATATATTCATTACCACATTAATTATAATTCAATTTAAGATATTTTTTTAATATAGTATTTATATACATTGTCTCCTTTAAAATGTGGATCAATTATTATTAAATTAAAATTACATCAAGAAAACTAACAACTTACAAAATTATACAATTTAAAATATTACATTATCATATAAGTTTGAAATACACAAATTCTCTCTTTTTGTTACAGAAAAAATGTTGTGTTTCATTTGACCTAGTATTAAAAGTAAAACGAATAACAATGCTATTAAGTTGTTTTTGTGTTCTGTGGTTGCATGTTTGGATGCTTTCCAAAAAGCGGGGTAAAAAAATTCTTCGCGTTATTGTTCACGTTTATGCTGTCTTTCTCAGGCTTGAAAAATATTGCGGCAATTCGTAGAATGGATAATTAATTATTATTTTTCATTGATAACAATGTGAAGAAAGAAGTATTTTATATACGTCATGTTACATTTGATAGGAGATTCATTTGTAGCAAATTTGAAACCAGACTGGTATAGTAGGCAAACGTGACATTTGAAACAAAAGATGATTCATGCAGTTTTAGTGGTTGTCCATTAAGCGGAACTCGATTCTGAAACGAATATCAAGGTTTAGTCGAGAATCGGAAACAACAGAATATATCGTGCAATAGACATTCTGAAAATAACGTCACTCTTTCACATATCAAATCATTTCCATACATTTTATGCGAATAAAACTGTCAAACTTGTCAAAACTGTAATTCAATGAAAGAAGTTAATTAAAAATTGTTTAAAACAGTAAAGCCGGTTTTTAAATCAAATTTTTTAATGGAATTTTGAAGCAGTGAACAAGGATTTTTACATTTGATAGAATTTTTTGTTATGATGAAATGTACGATAGGTAAGTTATGAAAATATGTAAAATTGTTAATAGTTCTATTAATTTTTTAACTTCAATCGTGCTCTCCTCGTGACATAGAAAAGATTATACCTCGCTCGCTCAGACTTTTTCGTTAGATCGTTCTCCGCATGGTTTCCAGGTACTTCTCGGACCTAGTGGAAGCAGCCTCACTCCCTGAATACTCCGTATTCAGTAGAGGTACTTCTCACTGAATACAAGTGTACAGAAGAGGACATAAACTGGACTATAGGTACTTCTGTGACCAGTGAACTCCTCTCAACCAGAGAACAACCTTCCGTAGGCTGTATATTGTAGAGGTACTTCTCTCAGTATATAGCTACCTAGAAAAGGTCGTACACTAGACTATAGGTACTTCTGTGTCAACTGAACATCTTTGGAACCTAGTGCCAATCATCCTCGCCTTCCTAAACTGTCTAGTCCCTTGATTGGCCAATCTGTAGCGTGCACGAAATCTAGTTTCGTTCGATGACGAAATCTGGAAGTTTAAATTCTTTTATTCAAAATTGTTTTGTATTAATCTAGTAAAATACTTTAGTCAAATGGTCCGTCTAATGTTAATAATCAAAGTTATTAAAAAGTTCATCTCTTCTTAGACATATATCTTCTATAAAAAGACAATTTCTTCCTTCCTTTTTTTTAAATAAAAAAAAAAAGAATTGAATTTGAAACCATGCCTCGCTATCTACTGCCTGTGCAAGCGGTCCATCTTTTATTTCCGATACGGAAGATACAATAATATCGAAACTCGATGACACTGCGGGCATCGCGGCTATATTTTGCAAGCCGCAGAATTTAAATATCTATTATCCGAGGCGAAAGTGCACTTCCGTATTTTTCTGCCGCGCAATGGAAATTTATTTTTGTTTCATTGCACAATTCTCACCGTTGCGACGTAAAAAACGATGTAATGCCAACAGATACTTTCGGATTTTGATTCGTGTATCATGCTTTCGTGTACATAGCAAAACAACGACGCGGACTTGGAAATTAAATTGATAATCGAATTTCAATATAGATTGCTGTGTGTACATGTGATATTGCAACACTACAAATGCATATAGTGCATATATATTTATAGGAAGATAGATATATATGTGGAAGATTGTATTCACACGTTTTGATAAACATAAACCTTCTTTCTCGCAGTAACTCTAATTGAAACATACAATTGCAGCTTAATTTCATGTTAATTAGATATACAAGTATTTACCATCTGCATAACTTAATATTTAATTATTTTTATAATCACAATAATACCTTTAATTGGAAACCTTTTAATCTATCGTGTAAAGCTAATTTCGATTTTCTATTAATTTCAACTTGTGCGATTACAGAAATGTGATGACATTTGTAAATTAATAACGAGGAATTTAATTTCAAAATAGAGTACTTAATTTTCACGACTACAAGTGATTACAAAGTGATTTTGAAATATTTTTATCCGCTCTCGAAATCCTTTGAAGAATTTTACGATTTTAAAAAATGTATATTTAAAAACTATGCAAAACATATACAAGATTTTTAACAAAAAAAATTACAATAAAAAACAAAATACTCTATCATAAATTTACCCCTGGACATGAAATTAGCGAAAACAAGTTTAGAGTTTACGTTTATAAAAAAAAAAATAGAGAAACTAAATTTTCGGAGCAAAATATTTTTTCCCCATTTTTAAAATGAGATTATCGCGATTTCCACGTGATTTAAATCACTTTTATTGTTAGCTTTCATTATCATAAAAAGCCGAGGGAGTGTAACGCACAATGTATATTTTTACAGACGCATTTTGCATACATATAAACAAATTACTTTTCAAAATTGAACTTCAGGGGTAGAGAGGCAAGGAAGGAGGTGAAATTACTCTCTAAAATTTAAGCTGTACTTTCCAACGAAAGCTGTTTATTTTAAACGCTTTTAACGACGTGGAAGTAAAAAATGTTACCATTAACCCAGCTACATTTTAATTATAGAATAAAAAGTTTGCAATCTGATTGCAACATTTACATATATGTTTTGTTTTTGACCTTCATTATATTCTACAAGAATATCGTTACATTTGAATTTGATAAAGTTCAAAACTCAAAATCGAAATTGAAAGTATTTTCTTTTTAGTTTTTGTATTAAGTCAAATTGTGCGTTAAAGGATACACTTAAAGGCGAACCTCTATTGTCTTGTTTTATTACAGAAATTAAACAACAAAAAACAGTCGTTTTCATTCGCGTTTTATTGCAAACTGTAAAAAATCTTGTATGTTATCAAACTGTAAAATGTGCATTCAATTCTTTTTTTTGACGTTTCACTGTAACCAAAAAAGTCTTTACCCTTTAACGCCCAAAGGTTTCAATTGAAAATATTTTTGAATTCAAAAATTCATAGCTTTGTCAAAAAGTAAAATATTTTTGACATCAACGACCAACAAATTTATTTTACTTCGTAAAAAAATTTATAGTGTAATATCCTCTCAAAGAAAAAAGAATTCTTTTGATATTTTATACGAGAGGAAATGTTGTATAAAAATAAGAATTCGCTAAAAACAAATATCACTTTTTTCTGTACTTAAAAATTTAATTTCAAAATGCTAATTATAATTGGACAAAAATTGTTATTTACTATTTTACTGTTTAGTTTACTATTTAACATAAATTCTTTTCTATAATTAGTATTTTTCCTTCTTTTAAAATTAGATAAAAATTTTACGAAATTTCTAAAACCATATAAACTATGTGAGAACCTTATCTAATATGGAATTTAACTTATGTACCATTATGTCTTTGTTCCAGAAATGCGAGGAGGTATGTGATCGGGTAATTTTCATGTAACACGTGCGAGAATACATGCCACATTCGATTACTTATACCCGAACTTGAACGTAGTTGAACATCGATTATACTTATCCCGTAAATCATTTTCAAGACCCATCGTGAGTACATCATACAAGACGTTAAATTAGAATTATAAGCCCTGAAGGAAGAAAACGATAAAAAAAATGGGTATACTTTTATCATCTCTGATCATCATACTGTTTAAAACGACGAAATTATTTATTAATAATAGTATAATTACCTGAGCTCACTTCAAAATACATTACAACAATGGTACGTATAATCTGTTATATTAATATTTAATTTTTTAATTTAATATTTACAATAATAATTTGCCCTTCTGGAAAATTGAAAAGTTGATTAGAAGATTGTCTCCGATTATGGTATCTTTAAATGTCTATGAAATAATTTTCAATTCTATATACCATCACGTGGTAATTTAATTACCCCGCCCAAACACAATTTTCGTATTGACGGCGCTTTTCACTAAAGGACATCCAAAAACCAAGATGTAAGGTAAGAAGGAAAAGGAGATATGGAAAGCGAAGGATTAAGTAAAGACGTTTACGGTGCTAGGTAGGAATGCCCAAGTGCAAATTGGCTTCCCAGCGTCGAAATACAGTGGCAAAAGTTTCTGCAGGTTACCAGGTCCGCTTGGAAACACTTGGGAGTAGGGAAGGAAGCGCTTCAAGCGTTTTTAATGTCAGCAGTGGAAGAAATTTGATTCCTTCTGACCTAGACAACGACACAATCGAAGAAGAACGCGAGACCTTAGGCAGGAGGAAGCTGGCTGTCTTCAGAGGATCAAAAAGGAGATGGTTAAGATGGTAAAGTCTTGCGAAGTCCAGAAGAATGTCAACATGACTATTAAGAATGGCCTTAAGACTCTTCAGGATCTTGATCTTGCTCTAGCAGTCCTATGAGGACAGACGCCGAGGCGAAGAAGCAAGAGTAGGTACCTCTTGTCAAAAAGATTGCAAAGGTGGCGGTAGAACCGAATCCTAAGCAAACAAGTAAGTAGAGGGCGACGAGTGGATCTACAATAGTGATCCGAGTAGCAACAGGAACAACGCATGCCGACGTACTGAGCAAACTTCGAAGGGAAGTGAATCCAGACATCAACCAAAAGCAGGTCGTGGGTGCAAGGCCTACAAAAAAGGAAGAAATCCTGATAAAAATCGGAGACGACTCCAATAAGGAGGCATTCACCGCTGAGGTCATCAAAGCAGTTGGAAGCATGGGGAAGGTGCAGACCGTAGATCGACAGGTCACACTGGAGATCAGCGACTTGGATTGCCTTAACCAGGAAGAGGAGGCGTTGGCAGAAGTGCTCCAGAAGCCTAGAACCCAACTAACGAGGAACGAAGCTTAACATTGTAGTTACCGACCCAGAGGAGGCGGACAAGCTGGAGAAATTGGGACACATAAGAATTGGCTGTATGTATTGCCCAATAAAAAGAAGGGTAATGGTCGTTCGGTATCACCGGTGCCTGGCGTATGGCTACATACAAAGAGTTTGTAAAGTAGCGGACAGATCGACTGCGTGCTTCAAGTGCAGTGAAATTGATCATAAGTTTGCAAACTGCAGTAGAAGCCTTAGCTGCTTTTTATGTAGAGAAAAGTTTGGCGATAAGGCGAACATCAGCTATGTCGCAGGCAGCAAAGGATCCGGGTAATTGTTTTACATGGCGTTGAAGATTTCCCTTTAAAAGTATAATTAAACTCAACATAAAAAATCATATTTCTTTTCTTAAATAATTTTAAAAATTACAACAGTATTCTTATGGCATGCACCTATAAATGTAATAGAACCAGAGTCAATCATGAAATCAACTTTGAACCATAAAAAGTAATAATTATTATAATAATTGCAATAATGACAATGTTTCAATAAGAAAAATAATGATAAGTTAATATAGATTCATTAATTATTATAATTTGATGCGTAAAAAAGACAAAGAGAAAAAATGTGATAAGTAGAAAATTGGTTTTTTTTTACAAAGAAAATGGCTTTCTTCGAAGAAAACTTTATATCTTTTGTCGTGGAATAGAATCTTTGGTTTATCTTTTGTCTCGAATCTTTTCACGAGAAACTACGACTTAAAATTGGATGAGAGCCACGAAAAACATGCACTGAAAAAAGAAGCTTTGAGTCAAGAAAATATTGCCTGAAAGACGAATAAATTGATGTTCTAAACCTCCTTTTAAAATTTCTCTTTTTCTAAATATTCCTCTTATCATTTAATAAAGTATTACTTTAACGGATTTTATATTCATATTCACTTTTCGGATGATTTAAGAACACATTTTTCAACTGCTATAAAAAGCAGTATCTTTAAAATGCATGAGTAATAATAATTAAATGTTAAATAGCGGAATATATTATTATTAATAATTAAAGAACAAGTTATGCTGAGAAATTAAAATTTTAATAGGTATTTATTATTTATATGACTATCGAATTTAGTTTTATCTTATTCGAAACATTTGTACGTGCAAAAATATTTCTTTTCATTCGTTCAGGTCAGGATTTTAATTGTGTCACCTTTATCAGAAACGATTTCTCTCGGGATTTGAACTTTGGAATCTGATCGAATAAACTTCGTTAAGCGTTTCACGACAGAAATTTATTCAACGCAAATGAATTATTTTAAATTTACACTTAATTTTTACAATTTAAATTTTTTTTGTTTAAAGAAAATTATTTTAAGTTATTTTATTTTATTTTTTTATTTACAAATTTTTTTGATTTAATTTAAAATATTTATAAACGGATGATTATAATAATATGACGTACTTATTAAAGTGATGGACGTTAAGAATCCGTTCGAATTAATAAAATTATTAATTTAAAGTGAGTGAATAATTGACAATCATAGATTGCACTTTACTTCTAAAAGTTTCGTTTCATTCGAATTTTAAATCAATGGATTGATGTATGAATTCACTTTGAGCTTCGGTGACAAATTAGCCAGATAAAAATAAACGTCAAAGCACTCAGCTAATTCCTTTACTCACGCAAAAATTGATTCATATATATCATATTTTATTGTTAGAAAGTTAAATAAATCTGTTCATTGTACATTCAAATGTAAATGTGTATTTTTATTAAAATTAATTTAATAATTGTTAATATCTATTATAAAAATTTATTTTCTTAAGAACTAATTAAAAAATTTGTCACTTTTAGATGCGTTGACATCAAATGACTGAAAAATCGACCATTGAATATCCGAATTGGCTGAATAAATTGTTAATTAATATGAAGATTTGAGCGTCGCGTCGAGGAGAAAAGGATGAGCATCTTTCGAATACTTCCGAATATTGGAAAGAAAACCTATAGTAAATTATAATACATATAATGAAGTTGTGAAAATTTTTATTATAAATATAGAATCTTATATAAAACTATGTTTACATTATATGAATTCATTGAAGTTACAAGTTTATAATTCAAAGTAATTGTTATAGTTGATATAAATAATTTGAAAAAATTTATTTTTAATTAATTTAATAAATTGACATAAAGGATATAAATTAATATAACTAATAATATAATTAAAAATTTATCTTATTATTTGTTAAAGTTTATTACAGGTTTTCTTGATAGGTAAATATTTTTAAAAATGCAAGACGTTGTGATGTGTAAAAACGTATCATAAAGGCGAATATATTAATTAAAAAATAACATTTTATCTAATACTTGCATACAGACTATTAATCGATTACGATAAATATATATTTTTTTATGTGTACATAAATACAACGTTCCTTCTTGTTATCTTATTAATATAATATATAATGTATAATTACATAACGTAATATATATAGTATGTAAGTTTTTGAGGCGAATGAAATCATATTCACAGCACCCGAATATTCGTGATATCCTTGAGATATATCATCAGGATATCCATACATATCCAGGTGTTGTGAGAGCATTAAAAATTTATGTAACAAGAAATCTCGTAGGCATTATTAATTATTGTATCATCTAGTTAGTAAAATCTAATTAATAAGATCATGTTGTAATTATCAATTCCAAAATATTTATTAATATTCAAATAACTATAATTTTTCCAAGTTAATTAATATTTTTTTGTTTCATATACCTATTATTACTTTTTGAAATTGTAAATTCCAGATAATTTTTTTAAAAGTCATGTTTATATACCTACTACTATAATTTTTTAATTATAAAGAATACTTTAACATGTTACGGCACTTAAAATGAAACAAATTTGAAGTTCAACAACATTTATTGAAAACATATCAAGAGATTGTTTTCTTTTACAGTGTATATAAAACATAATTTAAATTTTTAAAGTAAAATATATAATGTTACGTCTTAAAATTGAGAAACAACAAAAAAATTATTATTTATTTTGTCCGCCTTGGTGATTTAGTGATAATTTAAATTCATTTACAGTGCAGAAGATTCTAAAGTAAGGGTACAGGTAAGAAAGAGAAATATGAATTAAATATGTACAAAAATTAATTTTCATGAAATTAAAAGATTTTGTATACAGCAGATTTAGGTATGTATAGTGTCATTAAAAGCTGTTGATAGAATCAATTGAAAAGGATTGAAGGAACATCAGGCATATATATATATAGTTGATCCTTTCGAAAGAATCGATTAACCTAGTGCACTTTTAAAGTTCGAAGAAGAAGAGTAAAAGTAATGCATAGAAACTGCCTACAAAAGAGCTTGGTTCCATAGAACAGGAATCGGCACAATTTCCCTCTTTCTTTTACAGGCATTCTGCTCACAAACTAGTACAAAGATTCGCATTTAAATGCAATCGACTGTCTTCAAGGTCTGTTTTCTACCGAGATGTATTGCAATATCCCATTCAATCTGTGAGAGAGTAAATTCGATTTATCGATTATGCAAATGTTCAAAGACCATCATATTTACTTACTGAAATCAACATTTTCTACTCATCCTCTTCCTCTCTTATTTTATGCTTTTATTTTCTATGGTATCGTGCTTTTTTTCTCATTATTACAATGTTAATTTATTCAAATTTCATACTATAAATAAATTTCATGACAAAAATATAATTTTAATACTAATTGTACCTTATACAATATTATGACATTATAATTAACAGTTTATGAATCATAATTGTAAAATTATTAAAGAATATTTTGATGTTCGATTAATTTGAACAAAAAAGTTTGGAGGAAGAAATATTTTAAGTTGTTTTTCTTTAAAAATTTATTTGGTAATTGCTAAAATATTTGAAAGATTTAATAAAACAGTTATCCTGTAAAAGAAAAAATTGAAAATTTATGCTTTGATGAAATACACATCGATGTTTCCATGGTCAACATATAGTTTTCCTCTTCTCTTACATTTAAAAAGGAAAAACAGGAAAGAAGCAACTGAGGCGAAGAAATTTCAGCTATTTTCAAATTTACGAGCAGGCTGATCGAACAAACGATTGGATCGAGTTTTCTAGGTCGTACCGAAAATTCTACTTGTGTAAGAGTTTACCAACATTGACACTATACTCTCTCTCTCTCTCTCTCTATACACACAGAATCTTGCATCACGATGGGAACTATCGACTAAATTACGTAGGCAAGCGGAAAAGAGATTACCCGCTTTGTAGTTTTGTAAATTGCTATTTCCCTAACACCTTTTCTTCAAGTTCAATTTCAGTTTAACATCAACTCTTTTCAGATTGATAAACAACAGAAACTACAAATATATTTTTTTATAATTATTTTATATAATAAAAGAGACTAAAACAAAATTATGAGATAAAATTACATTTATATTTACTTAATACAGATAGAATGAAATTAAAATAAAAAATAATCGATAGACGTGATTGAAACACATTAATATTCTTTCATTTCACAATTATATCGTTCATGCAGTAGTTGACTAATTAATTTTACAAAAGATTTGACGGAGTCCAAAGACAAGAACGTCCTGCCAACATTCAGACTGTCCAGATCAAAAGCATCTTCAGTCAGATCGGCATTCAGGATTACTAGTCGCAAGTCGCACCAGTACCTCGAAACATTGTCTGGGGTACTTTGAAATGTCCATCTTAGAAATCTTACATATACACTTCAGTTTATTCGAGAGAACCCCATGCGAAAGACGAAGACAGCCCGTCTCCAATCTGACAGCATAGTCAGATTAATAGTCGACCTATTATAAATAAATTCGATTCTGATTTGTCCTTTCGTTCTGTTATGAAAACTCTCGCGAGGCATTGAGGATTCTCGCCGGGTCACAAAAACATTGAGGACATCACTATCTATCATTGAAATTAGAAGTCACCAAGGAAAGAGCTTCCTGGTGTATATATTTGGATGAGAGTCCCCAATATTCAAGAACACCAGAAAGACGAAAGTGCTGTTTTGTTGATGATCTATCAAATTACTCCTGGCAGCTAATCTCCTATGGACTACTCGCATGAATCAATTTAACATTGGATAGTGCAAAGATCTGGGTTACCTAAGACTGCGTATCGATTATCGGTCGCGGGTATTATATTATTGAATATTAATTGATCTCATTAACACCGAAAAGAAAGGCCGCTGTTTAGCGACGCTTTCGAGCTTTACTCGTCAACCATTTTCTCTCATTCTCATCCTGGTGTTCGTAGTGTAAACTTGATTGTTTTTTATTATTCCATAATTAAAAGCTAATTAATTTGTGATAATAAAATTGTCCTTCATTAGGGAAAAGAAAAAGCATAAAAATATATTTTAAAAAAATTTGATCTACAAAAATATTTAATTTTCTTTGTTATTCATTGTCATGGTTTTCAAACGATGAGAAATCGAAGAGAATTTTGTTTTCTGAAAAAAGGAAGAGATTGTGAAAGATAGAATGGAATTAATAATTTATATTTGAAAACTACAGAGCCTGGATCTGAAGTTATGTTGATGATAATAGATGCAATAAAGTCGAAAACTGGAATATTTGAATATTTAAGAGAGTCTAGGGGCATCTACTGAATAGGTAAAAGAAGAGAGGGGGTAATGCACACCGAGTGGATAGAGAAAAGAAGAATTCCAGTCGGTGAGAATCGAGTAATGGTATATCGACTTCATTTGAATTCCACACGCCTCGTTCCAATATAAAAACTAAAATTAAATCTGGCCAGTTCTACTGCAGAGACTGCTATATTATTCCAAAGTAGCTGGCTTCCGACGCTGCTAAATTTATAGCGAAAAAAGGGAAAACAGCGAGATAACCGACACGCCTCTTGAATATCATTTCATATTAAATAGACTTATTATTATTATAGATAAATGTTATTTTCTAATCCTTTTTAAAATAAAACTCATATTTTTTTGAAATATCGCAAAATTCTTAAGTCAGTAAAATTAAATATTCAAATTTCATTTTAAATCATAGTGATCAATAAAATATTTATCAAAAATAAATTATGAAGTATTTTAAAAAAAATTTAGTTTATATTGAAAAGAATGTGAATAAAAATAGTTGCGGGATGTATTGAAAACGAAGAGTGATTAAATGGTCAAGCAACAAATGTTGCATGAGTGCAATATTTCTAGATAATAATTTATTTTCAAGAAGATATTTATTTCACACTCCCCTCAAGAGTTGAAATACGTTTACCGTGACTAACGTCTATTTATCCTGTTAATGCTCAATACACCTTCAGCCACACAAACAATTTTTTACTATCGTAATTGCAATTTCGCTGCTAAGATAGAGATGTTCCTTCCTTGAACTTTATTTGACGCTTTTTTTATTTCTCAACAGTATTTACTCAAAGGGAATTCAACTTTAATGAAACTGTCTAATAAAAGGGGTTTTATGTCGAGGAGTAATTTTATCGCAAAATTTTTTTTTAATTATATTTGAAATTTCCTTTTTTTAAATTCAATTGTGCCATCATTTAAGAGGTTAGGTAATGTTTTGTGAAATAGGTTATCCTTTACTCATTTGTAAGGAGCAACAAATTGTGCTTCTTTGACAGAATAATTAGCACAGTTTCATGTTTGAATTTTTACAAAAGTTGCTGCTTCCAAATTGGGACAAAACATTTTGCTGTATGGATCTTATGAGATTCGACATATTGATGAAAATGTATTGTACCTACAAACACAGAATGCCATTTTTTAAAATTGTAATTTTTGTATTTTGCTGAAGTTGAAAAAGTATTCTTTGAAAAATAAATATTTGTTAAAATATTGCCTAATCATATAAAGAAACATTTACTGCTTCCGACATCTGTATAGATCTGCAAACTTTTTCAAATTCAATTTAGTAAAAAAGCAATTTAATCTAGTTTGCAAAAACTCATTTAGTTGTTCAAAAAATTGTTGTTTAATTCAAAATAAAAGGACTGAATAAATTTTTTTCTCTTCTTATATTTTTATCTTTTCACCAAAAAAAAGTTCTCATTAAAATAGGATTCATTTTCTTTTGTAGCAAATTTTCCTCTTATACATGGGTACTAAATTATTCCGGTCTAATTAAGAGGATTTTCTCTTTTACAATTTGAGAGGAATCATTTCAAATAAAGAGATATTTATCTTATTTTAACTTACGTCAAATTAAGATAGTGTCAACTTTTTTTACGTTCTTAGAATACAATTATATGGGTTAGTTTACTCTCTTGTAGTGGTTCAGTCCTCTGATATATTAGAAGCGAGTGATGATGGTCGTGCCTATTAATCGTAGAAATTCGGAAATCGCAATTATTTAAATAATGATAAGATCGATTCTAAAGAAAACGACTCCTAATTAATTTATTGGGACTTACCGTCCATTTTACGACGACGACAATTGGTTTGATTTGTATAATTTTAAATTTTAATTATTTCACACGAAAAAGAATAGAACACAACTTGACTCTACGAACACCAGGATGAGAATGAGAGTGAAATGACTGACGAGTCAAACTCGAAAGCTTCGCTAAACAGCTTCCTCTTTTCGTTCTGTCATTGAGATCAATTACTATTTAATAATATAATACCCGCGATCGAAAATCAATACGCAGATCCCTGCACTATC